TGTAGAAATTGAGTGGAATATTGCAAGCTTCATTGGCGGGGACTTCGGTGAAGAATGACACGACATCAAACTAGCCATTAAGGCTTTCGAATTTAGTTTAATTTACTTTAATTTTTCAAGTCTGATGATCAGGAACAAACTTTGAAACTAAAAATATTTTCTAGGAGCTATGACTGGATCACACTACTATTACTACTAATACTACTGGGAATAGTATGGCTACCTGTATTTAATCAAGCACAACGTAAATAATCAACACGTTACTCTACTCTGATGCAGTTTATTTCCGCACGATAAAGGGGTGGCATTTGCCTTTTATACTCTTTTATTTTTCTCGCCGATTTCATAATTATTTCCAATACTGTATTTTACTGTTGTATGCTAGCTCTTATCACAATCGGATACACAGTGCGTATCGGATATCTGACATTGTTTGGCAAATATATTAATCGGTGGTATGTAAGAGTTATTATCTTGTAGCAAGTAACATTTATATTGCAGTGTGGTACACAGTAGAAATATCTCACATTGTGGTACGTATTAGATATATTATAATGTCCTATTCAGTAGATATATCATACTGTGGTGTGTGTGATATATATGTAGCGCACTGTGGTATGTAACAGATGAATAACACACAGTGGCATGTGCTAGATATCTGCTGTGTGTTATTCAGCTTATCACTGAGCTATCGAGTGTTCCTAGAATGAAAAGATAATGTCGCCACAATAGCACTTACACGGAAAATGTATAATACCCATTAAAAACATTAGAAGTAATTTGTACTCTCTCAGTGGCGCGACTACAAAAGATGCCCCCTACCCGCATAAAAAGTAATTGGACCTCTTATGCTTATTTTCCAATAATTGTAGCTACAATTCTGACTGATCCGGGTGTTCTTTTGTTCCTGGCCCCCATGCCATTTCGAGGCATACTTACACCACTACACCATATTATAAACGATATTAAAATTAGATTAGGAAGTAAGATTATTTAGAGTAAATCATTACTCTTATTGAGTAGCATATGTGGTATTTACTACATATCACAGTGTACTATATCTGCTGCACACTACAGTGTGCTATATCTGCTACACACTACAGTGTGCTATATCTGCTGCACACTACAGTATGCTATATCTGCTGCACACTACAGTATGCTATATCTGCTGCACACTACAGTATGCTATATCTGCTACACACCAAAGTGTGTTATATTTCTGCCGCACATCCGAGTTTACTATGTCTGCAGTGTGCTGTATATCTGCTACATACCTCAGTTTGCCATATCCGCTACATACCACAATATGCTATATGTGCTACATATCAAAGTTAAAGGCTTATAACATTAAAAATCAAGGTTGGCACATTTTTGTTATGAATATTATGCTCGTGAAGCACGATTATATTTAATTAAATTTGTCAAAAGACATTAATATTAGGCTTAATATATTTTTAATACTGTACTCCTTATTCAGTCTCTTGGGTTTTTTTTAACTAAAATAATAGTGTGTAATAATATTTCAACCATACAGTGTCCGCCAAATCCATTACTGACGTCGCGTTTCGCTCAACACAGTGCTCATCAAGCCGGCTAGGTCGCAAAAAAACTATTCAGTAGTTGAAACGCTTCTTATAAAACACACCACAACAACTGTTATGCAATGAAAACCTATTTTATACGTAGCAAAATTGAAATAATATTATACAATCTTCGTTCTGAAAAACTCTAAGGGTCTGAATAAAAAATATGCAGTATTAAAAATATATAGTAAGCCTAATACTAATGTATTATGACAAATGTAACTAACTTGAGCATTACTTCAAATCTGTAATATAAAATCAAAACAAGTAAATGTGAAGTAATATTTATAAAAACAAATCTAGAAATCCTTTAAATAAACCATCCATTTCCAACGAAAAGTGCCCTCCCCCAGTGGCACAGCGGTATATCTTACAACGCTAAAAACCTGGTTTCGATACCCATGGTGGGCAGAGCATAGATAGCCCATTGTGTATCTTTGTGCTTAAACTAAAAGGCAGTTTAACAATAAGTAAAACTGATCAATTTTCTTTAATATCTGCTCGATAGAAAATTAGTAACCCTAAATATACATACATTAAATCATATGCCAATCCTGTTGTTTTTATATAAGTTTCTGTAATTTTACACGACATCTTTATTTACAGAAAATATATTCAAAATTCAAAAATGTGATGATGTAAAAAATAATTTATGTTGAAGCTGAGTTTAAAGTTTCATATGTGGATTAATTAAAGTTCTTTATCTGTTTTTATTTAAAACTAAGTTCGTACAAAATCTAAAACCTCATAAAATCCGAAGTGTACATGATGTTAAACCTAGTATGGCGGTTTTACAGTTTTGTATGTTCTGCTTATAGTTCTGCTTTACGAAAACGCACTTTTTAATTGATGTGTATTGTTTTATCATAGTAATTTGTATTATCTCTTTTGCTTTATATAAAACAGTTCAATTTTTATTTTCTAAATCCAAAGAAGATTGTTATTCTTTAAACTTTATTAAAGTGTTTTGTGTCATTCGCTGTCGTGATGTCTGTGTATTGCGTCGCTCAGAAAGGGTTTTTCGTTTGCATATGACATATATTTCAGTAAGGATTT